TTAGCTTGTGGCGCCACCGCTTATCTGCCATAGACACAATACAGGCACGCACTTGTTTTCAATTCATCATCGACACAAATATAAGTTTACCAAAATTTTTCTGCCATTAGGCATTATCGCGACACGATAAAATGCATTGCTGTTACGATGTGTTCATATCCAATTTTCTATGCTATAACTGCATAAAATCTTAGTATTTTTAATGTTGGTGTAATCAGTGATATTTTCGCTGTTAGGTGAGACTATATTCAGCTAAATTTAGTTTTTCTGAGCAAAAATCTCGCAATAGTCATTTTAAAACCACTCGTATAATATAGTGAGCAATCAGTTATTATGCAGTGTGGCCCTGTTATAACGCGTTGGGGGTCCATAACATGTCATCGCAAAAAAGCAGGGTTGCACTAAATCGGGGTTCAAGAAAATCAGAGTACATAAACTGCCCCCCCCCCACATCAACAAGTCATGTAAACTCATTTAGTTGCGCGATCTATAGGCGATCGTCGCTTCGACCCAAGGCCGGGCTTAACTCACCAAAAAACTTTTGGGTTCCGGAAAGAGCACAAAAATGGCCCCATGTTATATCCGAATTCCCGTTATATCCGAATTCCCGTTAAATCCGGGCGCTCGTAAAATCAAGGTTTCACTGTATATATATATGTTTCTATAGCTGAAACACACCGAGAAGTTTGAGTGTGCTCTAGTCTGACCTGTAGTCGACAGCTCCACTTACACTTACAGGCACGCCATACAGTGCTAGCTACAGTATGTGCACAGCAACGACAAGCATCAACTTCAAGTCAATTAGCACTCTTGAATATTTTGCAGTGGCAATACAAGCGTCTCACATATATATACATTGACCCAGATTTTTATGGCACTGGCAGCCGTGGATATTTACATGATACTGAGAGGGAGTTCATAAAATAAAAGAAAGAATTCAATTTTTACATGTGCTTAAAAGAGCATAGGTCGAGCCGTTCAGATTTGTGGCGCAATTCCGTATTTCCTCCTATACCCAATATATAGTTAAGGGGGAAATATTTCCCCTCCGTTAACACATCCTGACCTTTGACCCTTGACCCCCCCCAAATTGGTCATCCCGAGTCCTTTTCACGACCCCCCCCCACGTCCCGAATATCGTGACCGTACGTCGAGCGGTTAAGATTTGTGCCCAACTGTTGATGGACGGATGCTAATGCGATTC